AAATTGGGTAAACTTTTTCTCTTATTTGTTCTTCATACTCATGAACAGTAATGTTTCTCTTTTTCACGTAGTCAAATCAAGTTTTGAGATTAGAAATCAGTCCTTCGCGGGCAGCTAAGCGAAAAGTGTCTCGAGGATTGAAAACCTCAATACCTTGAAAATTCAGAACTTTTTTCAAAGTTTTCCAGGTTAACTCATAACAAACTTCAAAAGCTTGAATGGCTCCGGCAACTTCAAATTTATTTTGAGCTTTTTGTAAAGCTTCAGCTAAGAAATCACGAGTAGAAATTAGTGGCTCAATGTTTATTTCTCCTAGGATAATTTTTGTCATAAGCAATTGTTTATTTTAACTCTTTTTTTTTCATCAGAAAGAAAAGAACAGCCAAATTACAGCGTCCAGCGGTGGGACAAACAACCAAGATATTTTAATTTCTTCATCTCGCTTAGGTAATCTAAGGAACCAGCCCAACGATTGTAGGTACCTTGGTTGATTTTTCTTTTATCTGAATTTCCCAAATCAAAAAAAGAAAAACTTAAAATTAGAAGAGAGAGATTAAGACGTTTCATAATAACATTAACGCCGATTTAAATATTTTTCGTAACCTGGTTGATTTAATGTCAGTTCTCACAATCAAAAACTTCTTAAAATTTTGCTTTCTAAGTGTTCTTTAATTAGACTTAGGAGGAATCTGGATTTGGGCTTGGAGGGAAGATTGTTGTTGTTCAGTTTTTTCTTTTTCGTTACCAATGATATCGAGTTCTTCAAAAGAAACAGCTAAACCTAAATCATCAAAGTTATCGAAATACCGAAGTTGTTCCTTGTTTTCTTCTTTACTACTTTGCAGTAGTTTATTAATTTTTTCAGTATCTATAAACTTACTATGGTAAACTTCTCGAGGATAGATTTGATAACCTGGTTTGTTATTTGCTGCAAGCAACTTTTTTACCATTTTGTGCACCTCTTCTGTTTCTTCGTGATAGCCGCTTTCTTGACAAAAATTAAGAAAATGTGTTTCAAACCATCATGTCTCGATTAATTCCTTACCTAAAAGTATCGTGTAACATTGTTCTATAATTTTTATTTTTTTACGTTGCCTAGCAAATTCAACATTACCCTTTTTTTCATCAAATCCATGCTGCCAATTATTCAAAGTTTTATTTAATTCACTTGCTTTTGGTCTTTTTAAAGGATCAGCATTTCAACACCTTTTAATTAAATCTTTTAGCGGTTCTGGTGCTAATTCCGTATCTAAGTTGGGACGAAGTCCACCGCATATTTCTAGAACTAAATTAGCATTATGCGGCATTTCTTTATAACTATCTAATTCTTTATCATAAACTGAATAGGGTAATAAACCAGTTATTATTTCCGCAGCAATTATGCCAAATGAATAAATGTCAGAGGCTTGGGTATAAGGATTACCTAGTAACACTTCTGGGGCTACATAAGGAAGAACCCCATAAATTTCTTTATCATTAGTAGTTTTATTAATAGGTTTGCATTGACCCAAATCAGTAATAAAATGACGATTACCGCTTTTCAATATGTTTCCCGGATGAAAATCTCGGTGAACCAACCCTCGTTTGTGAATTTCATTTAGCCCTTCTGCAATAGAAGGTAATATACTGAATTTATTTTCAAAACTTAATTTGTTATAATTATGCTGTAAATATTGCCTTAAGTTTCCTTGTAACATATATTCCGTAACCATGATATAATCTTTAGTCACAAGATCTTGAGAGATACCAAAGCATGAAACAATACCACTAAACGTATTATCATTACCAAACAAACTATGACTAGTAATTTCTTGAAGAAAATTAGCAAATATGTCTTGAGAGTCATGAAGTACTTTCAAAGCCACCACTTTATAGTTAGTCTCGTAACCTAATTCATAATTTTTAGTTCTTACTCATTTTTTGTCTTTAGTGTTTCATTTTTCGATTTGTCCACCATCAATCCATTTAGCTTTATAAACTTTACCAAAGCCACCTTCAGCTACAAATTCGATGTTAGAAAATTGCTCATAAGGTATTCACTCTAATAACTGAAAATGAGTTAACGCTTTTAATTGCGTCCCTCGAATAAATTCATCAATTTCAGTATTGTTGCTAGTTCAGTTGCTATTCTGTAAACGCTTGTAATTACAAGATCTACATCATTCATATCACGTTTTAGGCTGATAACATTCCTGACATAATCCAAATAGTTTATATCTATTTCTTAATTTATCGTTAGGTATCAATTCATTAACTAGCAACTGTTGCTCGGGAGTTAACTTTTCTCTGTAATCTCAAGAATGCTTAAAATTTTTTTGGCTTATCTCCTTAATTACTTCGTCGCTAAGTTTAAGGTTTACGCAATATTCATCATACTCTTTTCTAAAATTTTCAATGTTACCACAACTCAACACTCATTTAGCATCCGCTTGCTTAATATCTCTTAATCAAGAAGCAAAAGCATGGTCTTGAACGCCAACATCTAGCCATTCTTGGTATTGTTTGCTTGTAAAACCTAAATCTTTCCATAAATTTTCATTAAATTCTCTACTCAACTCATCAAATTTAATGTGAGCACGTTTTAAATTCTCCTTAAATTCTCTTAGATCTATTTTTGGTGATTTTGGTGACCCTCATACTTCTAGCAGTAAATCTTTTTGCTTGGGAGTAAAATTGGGAAAGTTGGCAATATCAAAGTCTTTTATTTTTTCAAAAGTGGGTTGCCAAGTTGCTGAATGTAATTCAAGATCAACAAGTGCTTCTGCAGACAACGTGTTAGAATTTTCAAAAGTAAATCCAAAATTATTCTGGTTGACTTGGCTTGATAAAGATTTTTGATAATTTTCTTTTAATATTTCAATATTAACATTATTTGAAACATCTTCTGCACTGTAATCATTCTCTTCTAAGTAGTCAACAAATTTCGCATCTTCTGGTTGCAAGCCAACCTCTATTCACTTGCTACAGGTATAATAATTGAAACCCAACTTTCTCCATTCTCTTTCTAATTCCTCATTAAAGCGTGGATGAATTTCTTTTCAGTTTGTCATAATATGCTTTTTATTAATAAAAATTAGAATTATGACATTTTGCTGTGATCACATAAAAAAAGCCAACGAATACATTGACGTGGCTCGTAACCTCCTCAATTGAAATAATGATATAACGGCGGGTGATGGTTTCTTGGGAGGACTTACTTTGGGTATGTGAACTACTGTTAGATTGGGAAACAATTTACAGGAAGCGGAAAGGCAATTAACCAAAGCATATAGAGCTTTGAATGATGCTAAAAGAGAAATGAATGCTTGTAAATGTTTCGAGGAGAGAAATAGTGAAGCGATAAGAAGAGAGCAACAAACAAGAGGAGCCGAAAATCGTATAAGACAATTGCAACAGGATAATTTGGAACAAAAACTTTCTATTAAGAGAGAAGATTTAGAAAGAACAATTATTGATTTAGGAGTTAGTAGAGATAACAAAAATGAAATTAGAAGGAACTTGTGTGATGCTTATGAGAGATGGCTTAAAGTTATGGAAAGAAATGGTCACAATGAACGAGATAATTGTGTTAAGAGAGCATGAGAAAGTATTGAAGTGATTAAAGACAATCTTTCAGAGTCAGGAATTTCGTTTAATAATTTAAAAAGAATTAGTGAATTGTGCGAAGAGATTGCTAAATTGAGAATACAATCAGAACAGGAATTTGTAGCTCAAATCCAAGTTCCCCTTCGTCAATTTAATCTGAATTAAAAAACCAACATGACAGAAAATTATTATCAAATATTAGAAATACAAAAAACTGCTACCATAGGGGAAATTAAAAGTGCTTATCTTAGACTAGCCCTTAGATGACATCCGGATAAAAATCCTACCAATAAAGAGGAAGCAGAGGAAAAGTTTAAGAAAATTAATGAAGCTTATAGTACTCTAATTAATCCTATTAAGAAAAGTGAATATGATACTTCTATGTTTGTGGGAGAGTTTAGCTCTGATTTTGATACCCAGAGCTTGTTTGATATTGAGTTAAGTAAGTGAAGTGTTTTTGGTTCTCGTGAAGGTTCAATTCATAGTTCGGGAGGAGCAGTTATTGGACTTGATGATAATAGTACGAGAGAATATCAAGAAGCTAAAAGGCGAATTATAGAGAACATTAAGAGGACAATTAATGATTGAAAATGTAAACCGATTGTTACTTCCCCTGGGCAAGTAGACGATTTGTTAGTTCATAAGTCATTTAAGTTAATTCATGATGATTATGGCTATTTAGTGGTTGATTATGGTAAAGTTCATTGAAAAAAAGGTTTCACTAAGCAAGAATGGACAATGATTTTTAGTAGTCAATCACGAGACGTGTCATTGATTGAGTATCGACCAAATTGGTCGCTGGGGTGAAGTTTTTTTGGTGATAAAAAAAATTTATAGTTTTCTTATTTTTGCTACTTTTGCTCCTCGCCCTCTTTTTGCTCTTCATTTTCCGCAAAAAAATCCAAGCTTTTTTCCAAAAATCCCCCAAAAAACCGCAAAAAGAAGCTAAAAAAACTACCTAGATGATCCGGAACTAATGCATTGAAATCGTCTCGTCTCGCTTCTCAAACTACTTAAACTCAAC